TGAGCCGCCAGCTTCTCTAGGAGAATGCTGTGGGAGACGGTGTCAAAGGCCTTACTGAAGTCCAGGTAGACCACATCCACAGCCTTTCCCTCGTCCACTAGGCGGGTCACCTGGTCATAGAAGGAGATCAGGTTGGTCAAGCAGGACCTGCCTCTCATGAATCCATGCTGGCTAGGCCTGATCCCCTGGTTGTCCCGCTCATGCCTTGTGAGCGCCCTCAAGATGAACTGCTCCGTAATCTTCCCCGGCACCGAGGTCAGGCTGACAGGCCTGTAGTTCCCTGGATCCTCCTTCCGTCCCTTCTTGTAGATGGGATGATCCCCTTCTTGATGCGAGTTCCTTGGCCAAGCCAAGTAGCCAGGTTGCCAAGGAAGCTGATCTTGGGTGAAGATGTGCCCTTCACACAGTGGATGGGAATTTGTCCTCTCCCCATCCTACGTGAGACACAGGTATCTGGCGATGGTCTGGATACCGGGTATGACAGTCCCGGTCTGCATTGCCTCCTTGCAGGATGTTCAGCACCCAGCGGGCTCTGAGGCACAGCAAGCCCAGAGCATCTGGAAGCAAAGTTGTGTTTGGGCTGGTCCCCGGAATGCATGTAGGGCACCTTTACCGCGCTCTCTTCCCTGACCCTTCCTAGGAAAGTGAGCGGCATTGCCACTTAGACCAAAACCCTTCCCAGCCTGCAGCTGCAAGAGCCTCTTGCTGCAGGGAAGCGAAGCAGAAGTGACTTGGGCGGTTGCTGTGTGGCGCATTGCTTCCCGTGGTGCAGCCAGCCCCGTCTTGCTGAGGAAGTCTCGCAGCGGGAGCAAGGGCAGTGCCCAGGAACCTGCCTCCAGGTGCCTGCCAGCCCCGACTGCGAGGATCTAAACTCAGGCAGGACGGGCTGCGGAAGCACCAACGGCAGCTGGAAGACACCTGCAGGCGCTGAGGTCTCATCGGCTGGAGGCAGGGGAGGGTCAGGCGCAGGAGAGAGCTGAGGGCTTCCAGAGCCTTTGGCATCTAAGCCCTGGATTTGGGAGCAGCTACAGGAAGCAGCCGTGGGACAAGGAAACATTTCGGTGTGAGCTGGCTGGTGAGTCACTGGACAAACCCACCCCCGCTTCGTGCTGCCCCCCCAGCGAGGAGGGCTTCTCCCTCGGGAGGGTGGTGCAGCCCTGCGATGGCACAGAGAGGTAGGGAGAGCTCTGTCCTCAGAGGTTTTTGAGACACGGCCAGAAAAAGCTGTGGCTGATCAGGTTGAGCTCTCGGACAGGGCTGAGTCAGCACATTCCTAGGAGCCTTTAATCTTTGCTTGCTGCTTTTTTGCGATCTGTTGATAAGACTTTCTCGTCAGCTGGACAGCAAAGCAATACTTGGTGCTGACAGGGATACATACAGACCCTCAGAAATTATTTTCTGCTGTCCCCTTGGAGGCTGGTAATGAATCAAATCACTGGGTGAGAAAAAGGAAAATATGAAGCCCTCTGTTGCAATTTCCTGCCCCAGATTACAGTGCGCACCACGCAGAGAAAAAAACAGAGCTGTGTCTCTCCCATCCTGTGGTCAGACTGATATATCTGGCTTCACTGTCCGTAACTCAGCATTTCTAGTTTCTCCTGATCCATGGGATATCCTGGTCGCTTAGGAATGGGAGTCTCTGCAGCAAGGAAGCCCAGGCAGGAAAGCGCAGAGCCTGGTGCCTGCTGCCTCGGGAGGAGCCACCCTGCCTTGCTGAAACCCTGCTTTTGGGGTGGGGCGAGACCAGTGCCACCGACTCCCTGCCAAGGAGCGGGCGGAACAGGTGTAGCCCTTGGGTGTTTCACTGGTGAAACGGGCTGGGAGCTTTGCCCTGAGTCGTGGCTGAGTAGCCAGGCGGGTGCGCTGGACCCACACGAAGGGCAGTTGGGCAGGAGTGGTGAGGGCAGCGCTGTGTCCCCGAAGGGTGGCTCTGCGGGGCTGAACCCGCCCAAGTCAGCCCTCCCGTCGGTTGGATCTGAATGGTCCCCTCAGCTGCCACAAGAGTGCTGCCTTTCACCATTGCTCTCCTCATTTCTAGGCTCTTCACCATGAACGTGGCTGTTCTCCTCCTCCTGGGCCTGGGGCTGTTGGAGGCAGAAGGCAGGTGTTTCTTCAGTCGCACTGAGGAGCACTGTGTGTGCTACAACCTGTCCCAGGAAAGCCTAGGCAGCATCATCCAGTGCCTCGCAGCCACTGTTGTGGAGTTTCGGGGAGGAGAGCTGGAGAGATACGTAGCTTTCCCCATCAGCGACCTGGACCCCTCCACCATTGAAATGCTGGGCTCCCTTGTCATCAGGAAAATAATTTTTGGTGATCTCTTGGTGCCTGAGATACTCCTCGCCCGAGTCCTGAGGTTCTTTTCCTACACCCAAGTGCAGGAGCTGGTGTTTGAGAGCTGCATTTTCAAGGGGAGAGGAAACTGGGCTGAAATGGCCAGCCAGGACTTGCCCATATTGTCCCTGCACTTCCACAGCGTGACATCTGCCCCACTGACGGGCCGCGAGCAGGACTTCTCTAGTCTGAGCAGCTGGCTGGAGACGCTGCAGGAGCTGGCTGTCACCGGCTCCCATGTCACCAGCCTGCCCTGTAGCATCGGAAGGCTGTTCAGAGCTCTGCGCTCCCTGGACATGGCACAAAACAGCCTTGGGGACGAGAGCTTGATGCCCACCTTTTGCGAGGGGGCTTTCCCTCAGCTCCAGGTACTGAGTCTGCAATGCAACAACCTGACATCCTACCACAGCGTGTGCGAAAGCATGCAGCTGCTGCGTGAGCTCCAGCATTTAGATCTCAGCCAGAACAAGCTCATGGCAGACCTGTCCTCCTCCTGCCAGTGGCCAGTGGCCCTCCGAATTTTTAACTTGTCCGACAATGGCTTGGATGAAGTCCTCACACCTCTGCCTCCTAGTCTGGAAGTGTTGGATGTGAGCTGCAACCACCTTCATGCTGTAGACATCTCCCTCAGCTCCCTGAAGAAGCTCTTCCTGAGCCAAAACATACTGCAGGCTGCCCCCTCCATCAGGAATTACCCCATGTTGGACACCCTCCACCTGGACAACAACTCGATTACAGAGCTGCCGTGGGATGAGGTGAAGCTCCTGGGGCACCTGCGGGATGTGACTGCGGCTGGCAACCCCTACAACTGCTCGTGCTCTGGGGCTGGGGGGGTCCAGGCGCTGGCGGGCCTGGTGCACCTTGGGCAGGGCTGGCCTCAGGACTACAAGTGCCACTCGCCCCCTCGCTGCCAGGGCAGGCTGGTGAAGGACGTGCTGGTCTCGGTGCTGCAGTGCAACAGTGCTGCGGTGATTGCCCCTGTCTGCATTGCCCTCATCCTGCTCGGCGTGGCCGGCGCCGTTTGCCTGGTCAGATCCAGGCCTGGGCTCGTCCGGCCCTGCCTCAGAGTGTGAAGGGGACGTGTGATCATTCCCACCAGTGCTTCCCTGCAGGGGCTCAGCCCCAGGGGCTGCAAGGCCAGGAGCTCTGTGGGAAGGCTCACAGGACCCCCAAGTGCTGGTGAGGGCTCTCTCGGTGTCCCCAGTCCAGGCTCCCCTGTGGAGCAGGACTGTCCCCAGTCTTATCCCACAGTGGCTGTGGCTTTGCCCATCCAAGTTCTGGGGAAACCCCCAAGCAAAGCCCCTTGCCCTGCTCTGTCCCAGGGCTGCACCCTCCCAGAGGGGTTTTCCTTATGGCCAACTCTAACTCCCCAAGCCCCGACATGCACCCATTGCCCCTGTGATATCATCTGCCCTGAACAAGAGGAGTTCAGCTCCATCATATTTGTACAGCTGCAGGCGGCGCTCAGATGCCCCAAGCCTCGCTGGGGTCTGGTGGTCCCTGCCCAGAGCCCCCCCCACCTTGTAGCCCTGTGCCCCCCAGCCCAGCCGTCCTTGCAGCCTCCGCGGCCCCCTCTGCTGATCCTCCACCTCTCCTCACCTGCGGCTACAGCTGGGCCATGGCTGTGAAGAAGCCTGGTTTGTGAGGGTGTCTGGTTAA